TGAGCACATTATTGATATTTCCCCACCTACTCTGAACAACATGAGATGTAAACTTGTACAAGAGTATTTCTTACCATTACTAAATAATTAAAATTATTAATGTCTACTTTGCTGTAATTTAATTTTAAGAAAGATTTGATTTCGTTCGTTCCTTCTTTAAGGAATTGTCTAAGAGAATCACCGAGGTGACCTGTGATCAAAAGACTGACAGCTATCTTGGTCAACAGATTAGCCTTGCTATCCAATGAGGAAATGCTGCCAGCCTATGGGGCACCATTCCTGACAGCGGCACTGGCAGTGATATATTTTTTATTTTGTAAATTGTATATTATTTAGGTACTTAGTTATTTCTGGTTTTTTTAGTTTTTAGACATTTAGTAGATTTAAGCTTTTGTAATGTTAAATATTTCTATGTAAATATAAATAAATTATTTAATTTTAAGAATATTATGCCTACGTTAGTGAAAATAAAAGTCTTTAATATAAAATCAATCATTTAATTCTTTTCTTAGCTTTGCTAATTTTAACTGATACTCTTCTTCTTTCCATTGGCGCTCCTTTTCATTAAACTCCCATTCCTTCTTTTTTTCAATTATTTCTGCCTGAAGTAGTTCCTTTTGTAGCTGTACCAACTCTAATTTTTTTTCTGTTAACAGATCAAATGTTTTCTTTCCTTCATTTGGGGTATTTACTATAAAAAGTAAGCAAAAACAAAATTTGAGTCAGTAATAAAAAAGTTCTATAGGTGCATAAGTAATTATATGTATAAATTAAAATTAAAATAAAACAATTACTTATTGTTCATTTATTGCATTTTTCAATATTTAACATCTAATGAAAATTGTAAACATGATGGCAACTGGTTTCTACTAACTTATTGGATATACATACTTCTAGTTATGAGTTACTTTGAATAAAATGACATATCACATCTTACCAATGAGAGCAGGATGTTTCTTCGCTCTCAAATTTCTTCGACTAGTTACATCCCATTTTTTATTTGACGGTGGAGTTGTACCACATGGAATATTTTCCAGTTCATTATCTGTAATAATACATCAGTTGGTATAATAAACACATACTTAGTACTACCATAAACCTAATAATCTTACAACTGAGAAGTACCTACCACTATTGATCATATTGCAAAAATTTTCTGTGGCAATTTTTTTCTTTATAGTTTTTTCATTTTTGTTTTGCCTTTCTAACAATGGCTCATCTGTAAAATACCAATAAAATTTTAAGAAATCAATTGCCCACTGTAGATTATGAGTTGAATGATCCTTATTATTGCAAGTGTCTATAGGCGGCAGTGACCACTTAACACCAGGTGGACTGCAAGCTTGTTTGCCATCCACCATCACACATACATAAAAAAAGCAAAACAGGCCACTTTATTATTTTTAAATTCTGTTGACTGCCTGATGGTGGAGTTGTTGTACCACCCACCCTGAATATCAACTAGCACATTTTCTGTGTAATAAAACTTAAATTAGTAAGTATACTGAACATTATCAAAACACAAAAATAATTACACATCTGACAAGTACATACCATTAATCTTTGTAAGAGGAGGAGAGAGGATTTCATCCGTAGAAATTTCATTTTCTTGTAAAATGATGGGATTTTGTAATGTTAGCTCAGTCTCATCATCTGTAAAGTAAACACAAAAAATGAGAATTTTTTAAAATTAGAACTATTGAGTGCAATGAAATCAAGATTATGTAGATACCAAAATGACTATCCGTTACTGTCACAAACTCCAAGTCCTTAGAAGCTGACGGCAATACAACGTAGTCCTCCATCGATAATTTTGGTCCATCTTCTGAAAGAAACAAAAACATAACATTATTAACTGAAGGAACTGATTTAAACAACAATTCTTAGCTACAATCACTGACCTTCATTTTGCACTGGAGGTAAAACATCAGAGTCATAAACGCTTTCTAGCCCATCAGTGCTCAGACTGATCAAAGATTTTAAATATATTTCCGTACTATCCAACGGAGTGGCTGTGTTGGGTCCACCACCAGTGCGGTACAATTCAGTCCTTAATGCAGCAGACTTTTTCCGAACTGTTCTTTTCAAGCATTCGTATTTGATCCGCAATGTTTTGCTCGATCTGAATATTGCGCCAGATTGAGCATTGAAATCTTTTTCAATTTGTTTCCACGCAAACTCTTTTTTCTTCCAAGTAACACCATCACTTTGCTTATTTTCAATTATATTGCGATATTTTTGCACAAGAGTCACTAATAAATCTCTTTCGTCTGAATTAAAATTTGCACTTCTTTCTCTTTTTACAACATTATTAGCCATGATTCTTTATAATTTTAATTTAAAAAACACGGAAACGCAAAATTTATTGAGGAAAATATACCACGAGAAATCAACAACAACACAACACCGACACCACAGAATCCAGAGTTCTATCTGACAGTGACATTAGTTTGACGTTACTGACAACGAAATGAGTGAATTTTTCAAAATGAATGAACGATTCGCCTACATCAATCTTTTAACTGCTGAGTAGCTAATCGGAACTTCATTTTTGTATGTGAAATTGAAAAATTTTACTTTTTAGTTTTACTTGCTGATTAGTGTTAATTGGGAAGTAACTACTCAGAACTTTACTCAGAGATGGTGAACGAGGCCCTAAGGATGATAATATAATTATTTGAAATTACTGTATATTTAATTGTTAAACCTGTCATAATAAGAGTTCGATGTCACGTAATGATAAATCACTAAACATGAATATAATGATTGGAAAAATGTTATGATATTGTTGATGACCTGTTAATAAATTATTTATTAAACTTGATAAATTTATTCAAGTTCAACATTATGACAATAAGCGGTTTATTCTAATATACATAAATTGAAAATTTGATGAAGTCTAATAATGTTAAAGATAAGGGTTTGATATTAAAAATTAAGGTTAATTAGAATTAAGCAACACAAATATCAGTGAAAGTGAATAATAGTTTAATATTTATAATAGTAATGAATTAAATGAAATATTTGCTAATGTAAATTGATCGATTAGCGATACATGTGGAGTAGAAAGTAATTTAACAGCAGTGATTTTATATTGCGGTTAGTCATATTATTATTATTATACAAGTAAAAATGTGAAGTTAAGAGAACGTGTCCGCATAGCATGGAGGAGGAAGAGCAATGATGTCGCTCAGAAATGCTATGCGACACGCAGTCAAGGTGGCGAATGAAGTAACCAACCTTTTTTTTGACTATCATAGAGTATGTTACAGTCAAGTCAAGGTGGTGAAGGAAGTAACCAACCTTGTTTGGCTACTATGGACTAAGTGATATTAAGTGAGTTACAGTCAAGTCAGGGTGGTGAAGGAAGTAACCAACCTTGTTTGACTATTATGGAGTAAGTTGTATTAAGTGAGTTACAGTCAAGTCAAGGTGGTGAAGGAAGTAACCAACCTTGTTTGACTATTATGGAGTAAGTGATATTGAGTAAGAGGGTGTTCGCATAGCACAGAGCTGAAAAGGTAATGATATCGCTCAGGAGTGCCTTGCGACACGCAGTCAAGTCGAGGTGGTGAAGGAAGTAACCAGTCTCGTCTGGCTATAGTTATTGCTTAGTGAGTAAAACGAAGGGACTCGTTTTGTGACGGATGGCCGACTGTAACACTTATCAATAATTCACTGGAATAAATAAACTAAAATCACTCGATACTTAAAAGTATTAACGATTCGGTAAACCGAATCGTTTGAGTACTCGATTAAAAAGAAACTACGAACTGTCAAAAAGTGTCGTGGCCGGTCATTCGGGTTGTCAACGCCGACAAGTGAGGTTGTGTCTTAAATCTAGAAGCGTGAATAAACTGGTTTCATTGGATTGTTGCTGCTTTTAATCAATTTTCCTTCTGAACGTCACAATACTAACTAAAAAGTGTGAAATAAAAAAGGTAAATTTAAAAAATCAAAAAACCCGACTGCTTAATTATTCTTCAAATAAAAACTGAAAAGAAAAAAACAAGTCCAGTAGTCTATAATTCTGTTAATAAGGAACAAAGCTACTCTAACAGTCGGGACCCACTGTTGAAAAATATTATGTATTCTTGAATATCTAATGGGTCCCGACTGTTAAAGTAGCTTTGTTCCTTATTAACAGAATTATAGACTACTGGACTTGTTTTTTTCTTTTCAGTTTTTATTTGAAGAATAATTAAGCAGTCGGGTTTTTTGATTTTTTAAATTTACCTTTTTTTTAAAATTAATATATTATTTAAAGGTGGCCGTTAAAATCTAATGACTGTAAAATAAAGTATAAATTACGCCAAGAATTACTGTATATGTCAATATTTTATTTGCATTTAGGCCAATTTGACCAATCTCCTTTTGCAATTACAGCGATTGCAGACCGAGCACGCTGACCACCTGCGTCTTTGAGCTTCTGATTTCACTTGACGTTAATGTATTGTTAAATTTCTTATTAAATATACATGTCATTCATTCAATACAACTAAAATATGAGGGCAATTGATTTATTTGTTTAGAAGCCTTGTCGTCTTGTCGTTGTCTTTTACGATAAAAAAATGACAATACATTTTTCTTTTTTATTAAGAACTCCTCAGCGAGTAAAGGCCTCCTCCATTTTACTTACACCAAGTTTTTTTATCTTTGGCCTGGTGATCCAGTCTCTACCAGCCGCGTCGTTAATTTCGTCTATTCATCTCTGTTTTTGTCTACCTCTATTTCTTTCATGTCGAACTCCTTTCCAAGTAGTCGCTTTATAAGTCTATTTAATATTATTCATAGTGCAATGTGACCAGCCCGTCTCAATTTATTTTTTTACGTTACTTTAAGTGATGGAATAATGAAGTATATGGACTGTTCGAAGGGCGCCGCGAACTTCTCGGGCAGGCGGTACAGCAGCCAGTAGTGGTAGCCCATGGGCTCCTCCTTGTGGCCCGCTCGCGTGGCACGTGTGACCGTCTACACTCGCTACGAGTATGTATACTGACCGACGGGCGCCACGAGCTGGTTGCCGGGCGGCGCGGCGGGGTCGGGCGTCTCGGGCAGGCGGTACAGCAGCCAGTAGTGGTAGCCCATGGGCTCCTCCTTGTGGCCCGCGAGCGTGTGCACGTAGTGGCCGTTGGGCCACTCGCTCGCCTCGAACTTGAACTTGGGGTTCTGCTCGGCGGCCATTTGCATCACGTGGTAGAAGGATATGTTTCTGTGGACCATTTTATTTTTGTTTTTGAAAACTTGCCTCAACTCAAAGGTGACTGACTGACTGACATAGTGATCTATCAACGCACAGCCCAAACCACTGGACGGATCTGGCTGAAATTTGGCATGCAGGTAGATGTTATGACGTAGGCATCCGCTGAGAAAGGATTTTGATCAATTCTACCCCCAAGGGGATAAAATAGGGAATGAGTGTTTGTATGAAACTTTGTCAAGGCCTTTGAACAAAAACTATAGTCTACACTATAGCTCTACACAAAAATTAAATTAAATTAAATTAAAATTATTGAATATCTCCCATGATATAAAATTAGAAGAAAGTCAGTTCAATTAACAAGATCCTGGGTGGTGCCCACACTCTTTTATTAAAGACTTATAGTTTAGCTACTTTTTTTTTGGGTAAAGAATAGTTCTTCTATTACAAATAGTTGTCCAAAAATATAGTATTTCGAGTACGGTATAATATGGAGTAAAATACTGTACGAGCCCTTGTCAACTCAGTACATTGAATTGCTATTTCTTGACATCGAATAAAGGAAAACACTGTATAAACTTGACGAAATATAGTTATATTTTTTATTCTTAAGGATTTATCTGCTAGATGTTTAAATCTAAAGAATTATTGGCCAGTGCATTCGCCCGGAATAGCGAAGGGTGCGGGTTCGAGTCCCGCCTGCTGCCTGGTCCGCGTGGAAATTTTTCTAGTAATATTTTCTTTAGATTTGACGAAATATTTTTATGAAACTCGAAAGTAACTGTGTGCAAACTGCTTGGGACAAACGCGAACTAAGTTGGACGTGATTATGAAATATATTTAAACAATAAAATATTGACACTAAATAATTTCTTGTGGTAAAAAATGCTTTGCTAGCAAAATGTACGATTTGATCGTACAGATACCTTGGCGCGACCATGTGCAGCGTGAAGTTCTCCGTGACGTTGGTGCCGAGCCACAGCGTATAGGTGAAAGACACGTTCCTAGCTTCAGAGTCGTTGGCGGTCTGTCCCGATTGGTACGCCAACTTCAGGCTGCCATCACCGCCGTTGCTGTCTGTAAAAGTAAGGTTACACGGCATCATCAGTGATGGATGAAGTACTTACATACATAAAATATGTCTACTTACATTTAGCAGAAATGTAAACATTTTGTAATAGGATGCTCGATGAAATTGATTTGTGATTTTTAAATAGATTTGTCGAAAGATCCTGGCTAAAGGTTGAAGGTTTGATGGGAAGCTCTCGGAAAACATTGGAGTCAAATAAATAGTTTGCCAATGTAGGTTTGTTTGCCTATTAATGCCATAGTGAATTGATTTTCAGGTGGGGGGAGTGTTTGGTGCGTTCAGTATACAATTATGGAAGTTAAGTGACTTTCATAATGGTTAGTATCCGGATGGGTGACCAAAAATGTATTATCTTGAACTCGTCTGTGCTTTGGATGTCAATTTAAGCCGTGTCGGTCCCGTTTACATCTGCAGTCGAAAGAAACCATCAGTCTACATTTCCCTGGCCCAATTTTCTATTCTGTCCATAGGGAAGGCCTGTGCCCCAGCAGTGGGGACAGAAATAGTTAAAATTTATGACGTGATGGGTCATGCATGGCCCAGTCCTTATTCCATCCATAGAGAAGGCCTGTGCCTTAGTAGTAGAGACTTTAACAGGTTGTAGATGATGATGATAATGATGATGGAGATAGTTTGTAGAAATGCCAAAGGGAAAGATCATCTTGCGAGCTGGGTGATGGGAGCTTGAGTGGATGCGATTCTACTGATATTGGTCAGGCATTTGTTGCATATATCAAGAATTAGTCTCCGAATTTCTCTTCTGCAATGTAGGTTTTCATACTTTTTGAGTGCAGCGTTGGTAACGCCATCTCTCGACGAGACGAGTGATCACTTCCTCCATGTTGGTTAAATGCGGAGCGCGTAGATGTTACCGCCACAAGTACTTTGCCGCGCCTTTTTTATCTGACCAAGGCGGCCGCAGTTATTAAAGTGGTGTTGAGGACAGTGACCTAGGGGCTCGTGGCGGCGCCGGTGTTGCGGATACTCACCTAGGGGCTCGTGGCGGCTGTCCAGCAGCTTGTCGCTGCAGTGCAGCGGGCGCACGGCGGCGAGGGAGGCGGGCGTGAGGCGTGAGGCGTGAGGCGTGAGGCGTGAGGCGTGAGGCGTGAGGCGTGAGGCGTGAGGCGTGAGGCGTGAGGCGTGAGGCGTGAGGCGTGAGGCGTGAGGCGTGAGCGCGGCCCCGGCGGCGCCGGTGTTGCGGATACTCACCTAGGGGCTCGTGGCGGCTGTCCAGCAGCTTGTCGCTGCAGTGCGGCGGGCGCACGGCGGCGAGGGAGGCGGGCGTGAGGCGTGAGGCGTGAGGCGTGAGGCGTGAGGCGTGAGGCGTGAGGCGTGAGGCGTGAGGCGTGAGGCGTGAGGCGTGAGCGCGGCCCCGGCGGCGCCGGTGTTGCGGATACTCACCTAGGGGCTCGTGGCGGCTGTCCAGCAGCTTGTCGCTGCAGTGCGGCGGGCGCACGGCGGCGAGGGAGGCGGGCGTGAGGCGTGAGGCGTGAGGCGTGAGGCGTGAGGCGTGAGGCGTGAGGCGTGAGGCGTGAGGCGTGAGGCGTGAGGCGTGAGGCGTGAGCGCGGCCCCGGCGGCGCCGGTGTTGCGGATACTCACCTAGGGGCTCGTGGCGGCTGTCCAGCAGCTTGTCGCTGCAGTGCGGCGGGCGCACGGCGGCGAGGGAGGCGGGCGTGAGGCGTGAGGCGTGAGGCGTGAGGCGTGAGGCGTGAGGCGTGAGGCGTGAGCGCGGCCCCGGCGGCGCCGGTGTTGCGGATACTCACCTAGGGGCTCGTGGCGGCTGTCCAGCAGCTTGTCGCTGCAGTGCGGCGGGCGCACGGCGGCGAGGGAGGCGGGCGTGAGGCGTGAGGCGTGAGGCGTGAGGCGTGAGGCGTGAGGCGTGAGGCGTGAGGCGTGAGGCGTGAGGCGTGAGGCGTGAGGCGTGAGGCGTGAGGCGTGAGGCGTGAGGCGTGAGGCGTGAGGCGTGAGCGCGGCCCCGGCGGCGCCGGTGTTGCGGATACTCACCTAGGGGCTCGTGGCGGCTGTCCAGCAGCTTGTCGCTGCAGTGCGGCGGGCGCACGGCGGCGAGGGAGGCGGGCGTGAGGCGTGAGGCGTGAGGCGTGAGGCGTGAGGCGTGAGGCGTGAGGCGTGAGGCGTGAGGCGTGAGGCGTGAGGCGTGAGCGCGGCCCCGGCGGCGCCGGTGTTGCGGATACTCACCTAGGGGCTCGTGGCGGCTGTCCAGCAGCTTGTCGCTGCAGTGCGGCGGGCGCACGGCGGCGAGGGAGGCGGGCGTGAGGCGTGAGGCGTGAGGCGTGAGGCGTGAGGCGTGAGGCGTGAGGCGTGAGGCGTGAGGCGTGAGGCGTGAGGCGTGAGGCGTGAGGCGTGAGGCGTGAGGCGTGAGGCGTGAGGCGTGAGCGCGGCCCCGGCGGCGCCGGTGTTGCGGATACTCACCTAGGGGCTCGTGGCGGCTGTCCAGCAGCTTGTCGCTGCAGTGCGGCGGGCGCACGGCGGCGAGGGAGGCGGGCGTGAGGCGTGAGGCGTGAGGCGTGAGGCGTGAGGCGTGAGGCGTGAGGCGTGAGGCGTGAGGCGTGAGCGCGGCCCCGGCGGCGCCGGTGTTGCGGATACTCACCTAGGGGCTCGTGGCGGCTGTCCAGCAGCTTGTCGCTGCAGTGCGGCGGGCGCACGGCGGCGAGGGAGGCGGGCGTGAGGCGTGAGGCGTGAGGCGTGAGGCGTGAGGCGTGAGGCGTGAGGCGTGAGGCGTGAGGCGTGAGGCGTGAGGCGTGAGGCGTGAGGCGTGAGGCGTGAGGCGTGAGGCGTGAGGCGTGAGCGCGGCCCCGGCGGCGCCGGTGTTGCGGATACTCACCTAGGGGCTCGTGGCGGCTGTCCAGCAGCTTGTCGCTGCAGTGCGGCGGGCGCACGGCGGCGAGGGAGGCGGGCGTGAGGGCGGCGACGGCGGCGGCGGTGTTGGCCACATCCCCCCACCCGCCGTCGGCGCGCTGCCGCTCCAGCAGCCACTTGCGGGCCGACGGCAGGCTCCAGTGCTGGTGCGCGCCCGGCCCGCTGTCCGAGTCCTCCAATGCCTGATCAGGGATAAATTATATAGTTATATATATAAAGCCATATGTACTTCAGCAAAGTTGATAAGATAATAGCGTTCACTGTTTCTATCATAAAATATGATTTAAAATCAAAACACGGTTTAAGCTTTAGCAGATAAGTCTTCATAAATGCGCGGGGTTGTTTTTATCTAAAACGCTGGAATAATTGAACATGTTTTCCAGGTCTCTGTTGTATGAAAAGAAGTGGAAGGTGGAAAAGATTGGTTGGTCACACACATAGGTAAATAAATAGTCTTTTTAATACTCGCCAGAAGTGTTAAGCCAAATGCGTTGGGCCTCAAAATGTGTTATAATTGTACAAGATCCCAAGACTGCCAGATCTTACTTATTTTCTTAAGAACAAAATATGTATCAGTGTGTGAAATGAACGTATACATACTCTCAAACTTGAGCTGCGGGCCAATTTTTTGGTATCAGGTGGCACAGGTAAGTAAAAATTTTACTCACTGAACTTACAGTCTAAGGACTGATTCCTACATATATTGGAGAGAATGTTGTTTACGATTTCAAATTCATACTGTCAGACACATTCTGTCAGCAGTTTATATTGCCAGACACTTTGAAAGTCAACACTTTTAATGTCCGTACTTCGGAAACACGTTAAGGTTGGCTCAATCTGACTAATCAATCCATAGGGAAGACCTCAGCAGTAGGGACGTTATCAAACTGATGACGATCATCACCTGCATAGCCAGCGCGGTTGAGGTCAAGGACCCGAAGCTGCCGTCTGGGTGTTGCTGGCACGCCAGCCTTGCCATGGGGCGGCGCTATGCCCTAGCAGTGTGGGGACATTATCAAGCTAATGGTGATGATCACCTGTATAGCCAGCGCGGTGGTGGTCAAAGACCCGAAGCTGCCGTCTGGGTGTTGCTGGCGCGCAAGGCCGGCCATGGGGCGGCGCACGAAGTGTAGCAGGCTGCGGTGCCGGTGATCCTGCACCACACACCGGAGCGCCAGGATCACCATGGATATCGTGTCTGGAAACAAGTGAATGAACAATCGTTTTGAATACAGATGAACAGAGAATGGAAATCAGCATGGATATCGTCTCTGGAAACAAATGAATTTCTTTGTCGTACTATCCGTAAATGGAATGCTCTGCCCGCTCACATGTTCCCTCCCTCTTACAACCTGGGATCCTTTAAAAGAGGCGTGCAGAAGCAACATGCAGGCCGGCAGGGTGAGGATGGCTGGTGTGGCAGGTAGAACTGCTGTACCAGCTATCTTCGCGTCTGGACTTCACCTCCACTTAATATCAGGTGGGGTGGAGTCATTTGTAGAAACTATCTATAAAAAAAAATGAATAAACAATAGTTATAACAACAGATAATGTTAATCAGAATAAAGTCATGTTTAGAAACAAATGAAGGAACAATCGCTATAAAAACAGATGAACAGAAAATGGTGAACAGAATGGATCACAACTCTGTCGGAATAACAACAAAAGATTGAGCAAGTATTTTTCATCGCGGTGCAGCAGGGGCGTGAACCGGCCGTGGAAGGAGTGCGGGTTCTTGCAGAGAGCGCCTAAAGCCAGCATTTTAGCGGTCCAAACTGTCCTTCTTAGCGGCGGCATTTACCAAATCCGAGATGTAGCCAATTCCCTACCTAGACTGTGATCAGTGGCGGCATTAGCATTCAGTGCTCTTGATAATCCCACCTAGGATGAGGTATACGATGGCGTAAGTAGAGTGGATCCTATGTGTTGTTACCTAAACTGTGGTCAGCGGTGGATTATCGATGTCCAGTAGCCGTCCAATATGACAGCAATGCACATGTGCTGCAGACGAGCAGGTGGACAGAATGGCATACGCAAACTCTAGGTCGTTGTGGGTTAGCAGTGCAGCTGTTTCACTTGGATTATGTTCAGCGGTGGCATTGACGTTCACGGCGTCAGCTAGATGCCGCAACATCGCCGGCACTCCCATTATAGGGACTGCGGTCTTCGGAATGCAGGCCGGGTGACCGGTGCAGGAGTATTGTCTGATTTTTGAATTCATCCTGCCAGACACATCCTGTCAGCAGTTTATATTGCCAGACACTTTGAAAGTCGAAAGCAACACTTAGGGCCCTTTTCATTTCATCGTGCCCCAGGGTTGGGTAAAATAAACAGGGGGGAGTTCCAGATACTTTCTTCTTGCTCCCCGAGTGGTTGAAGGATGCATAGGGACATTTCCCAGACACAAAAAGGATGGCATACTTAGTATTCTTACCTAAACTATGGTCAGCCGCGGCATTAGCGATGTCCAGGAGGCGTCTAATATGACGGCGACGCACATGAGCTGCAGAAGAGCAGGCGGCCAAGGTAGCATACGCAAACTCCAGGTCGTGAGGAGGTTCGCGATGTAACAGGGCCGCGACCAGGTCCCGCCCGTGGAAGGAGCGCGGATCCTTGCAGAGGGCGCCCAAAGCTAAAGTGTATGCGGCAAGCCGTCCCAGCGGGGGCGGTGACTCGTGGTGCCTAGGACAACAGATGAAAGTAACCTGTAGTTTACTTGATTTATCTAAATAATAATATACCATTTATTTTCTCATCACAAAAGGTGTAACATTACAAAAGGTAACCAGCTTAATGAATACAAATACATAAACCTATTATGTGGAAGACTGGTGCCCGTAAAAGGCAACTACGAATAGCTACCTGTACTAACAGTTTACCAGGCCCAGATTATCATACATAAACCAAACGTGTATTACTTGTAACAAAAAATATTAATTTGTTTCTTAAAACAGTGATGTTCACACACTTAATACAAGAAACAAAAATAAACTAACTTTACCTGCTACTAGGCTTCACAAAATCAATAATTCATTTAAAGGTCTTTGTGTTCGCTTATACAATAAAGTCCCAAACAATATCCAAGAGTTAAGCATAAATAAATTCAAAGATAGTATAAAAAAGCACTTATTAAAAAATCTTATTACAAAGTGTCTGATTATATTACAGACAAAAATGCTTGGGTTTGAACTGTTCCAATCATTCCAACAGGTTTTCTATATTAAATAAATCATGATTGTATTGACGTTGTAACAACATAATGATTTGTAAATGTTGTTACATTATGCTTTTAATGTTGTGGAGTTTTTTTCGCTCGTTTTTTCCGCAGCTAAAAAATATCTCCTATAACGAGTGGTAGGGAAAAAAAATGTTTGGACGATTCAAAAGTGTTGTACTATACATCCAATTTGAATAAAGATATATTGATTCCTAATTTCTGATTTCTATCTTATCAGAAAATTGAATACCTACTCCAAATTTGAAAATACATTGTCAGAGAGAAAAAAATTACATGTAATCTAAGAAGTGCTTTAATTACACTGCAGACTGCATTGACAAAATTATTAGTAAGGTGCAATAGTATATTAAACGTAATACACAAAAATATTTATTATACCTTTGAGCAATCAAATAAAGAATCCCAAGTCCAGAAGGCAGCAGGGGATACCAGCTAAATATATGATAATTATTCTTCGTAAACATTGATCAATAAGGTGCGTTCTGAGACAACAAATATTTACAACCTATTTAAAACCCCTCACAGAATATACTTGGATTAGTTACTAGATAGTAAAAAGCCTACAAAATATTTATAGAAAATGTTTATTGGAAAAGCTGATCGATCGTATTGAGCAGGCGAGCGCACCTTTCCCTTATTTGGTTTTTCAATTTATTGAATTTATTCTAATATTTTTTTGCGCGTTGTAATCATTTCATTGCTCAAATGAAGACGTCCGTTTTAATTCATTCTCAATGTGGCATATGCTTTATCCTCAGTAAATTGTTTTTAACCTCTGGTCTGTGTAGCCTTTGTTTTTCACCGCCGGAAAAAAAACCGCCAGTTTTCAGCTTACTATTCAAGTTCTACTGTACATCCAGGCTTCATTTATGTCTTAAATCAATCCTGAATAGTTTCTCTAAAAACTTATCTATATATTAGATGTATAAATTAAAAACCTTCACGAAATATTCTCAACTCGTGGCAGAAAACATCCAATTACACAGACAAGGGGTTAAATTTCATTAAAAACCGAATACATGTTTGTATGGCTCGTTGAAAATATAAAAACAGTGCATAATCTTCAGATTTGAATTACCAAAGAGTTTAGTTAAATACGTGGCTTATGAGGTCCCGTTTATATTTATTTAGGGCCAAATGTGATGAATATGTGTTTGGGACTTGTTTATAATTAATATTAAATCCCACGCAAAGTTCGTTTTGTGGAAATTGTGTAACGATGATTTTTGATGGGCTTAAATCCTCAGGATAAATTATCTAAACTTAGAGTCAAAAAGGCTGAAAATATATGAAAACTGTTAAAGTACTAGGCTTTTCACTAATGTTATTTGTTGTGAGTAACAGGTAACTATATTATACATTCTGCACGTAGTAAAAACACAATGCCTAATTCGATGTCTAATTTTTTACTTGTGTTTGGGTATGATTTTTTACCTAAGTGACGATCACCGTGGTAAGTACGCTGGGTTTCAAGGTGCCGTTTACTCGAGAGGTCCTTGGTTCGAATCCCGTTGGGGGCAGAGGTTTGTGTGATAAATAAGAGCTTACAATGACGAGAGTACAAATGGTCTCCAGTAGGGTTACTCTAGTATCCCATAACACAAGCCTTGTTTCAGTACTTACCTTAGGGCTAGACTAATTGGTGTGAATGTTGGAAACATTTTTTTTTATTTATTCATTTAAAGTTTTTTTTTATGAACCCAAATCATCAATACTGAAATGACTTTTCGTAATAAATAGTATACTTACTATGGTAGCAAAATTTACTTCATTGAAAGTAAATTACGGAACATCTGTAGTAGAAATAATATGATAGTACTTTTTTTAAACAAGTTTCATTGCATTTACTGCAGTAAAGTAAAAAATTACCACGGTATTACTTTTATGAAATAGGACCCTGATGGTAAGCGGCCACCGTAGCCAATAAGCGCTTGTGATCCCAAAAATATCCACTACCCCGTTGAGTCTTCGAAACCTGAGTGCACTCACTTCGACATCATGAGCAGAATCTCGATCTCCATTTGCTTGGCTGACAGCTGCATCTCCAGACCTTGCTGCTCTATTTCCTTCCCCGTGTTATTAGCCAACTGTGGAAAGAGTAAATTTATTTAAAAACTTAATTTCCATCCGCGAATCCTAATTACAAATTCTAATTACAAATTATTTATGCCCAAGATATACAAATCTAATTTAGTTCACTTTTCGTCACTGTGTCGTATGCAATCATATTATAATAAAATGTCTAAGGCCTCTAATCTAGACCTATTTAGTGACTACGGTGAATTTGTAAAAAATGTTGCTCCATCTGTCATCAATCAAACATAAAAAATTTTGCTCCGGCTTAGCATAATAAGCATTGTATTATTAATATTGTAGTATCTCCTGATTTCTTGCTCCATAATCGTTCTGTCGTATTGGATATGTTCAATGTAACAACAAAATGTTTTTGAATATCATGCATAATTATTTCTTTTTATACTTTTATAATTTTGTTAAGAATGCACACTCTGTCATTATTGTCACAAATGCATGCCGTGGCAGCCTATAATTAAGGTACCACTTGAATTGTCACTTATACACTTTTGTTATATTATACTATGTGTGGATATTCTTGTTGGTTGTCCTTAAATAAATAAATAAATCCTGCGCGTAGTTATTTTTTGAGAATCCCGCAAAAATCTAATATGTTTCTGGAATGAAAGTATATTATGTGTCTCAAACTCGGTAATAAACCATAATTACACTTCAGCTGCAGAGTTAGGCATGATGATGAGAAGAATGGGGACACTATAGGTAGCAATGGCCAATAAAAGGTTTTTTGCCTTCCAATGGCAACATTATGAGTCGCCATGATAGGAAGATTGGGTTCACCTTGATTGCCAAGTGGTATGTAGTTTAAAGGTGAAAAGTGAGAAGCTCGATGGCGCAGGTGGCTAGCGCGTTCGGCTGCGATCGTTGAAGTTAAGCAACTTTCGCAGTGGTCGGTCATTGGATGGGTGACCAAAAATTTACTATCTCGAGCTTCGGAAGGCACGATAAGCCGTTGGTCCCGGCTGCATTTGCAGTCGTTAGCACCCACCAATCCGCACTGGGCCCGCGTGGTGGGTCATGGCCCAATCTCCCTATTCCATCCATAGGGAAGGCCTGTGCCCCAGCAGTGGGGACATTAATAGGCTGATGATGATGATGTAGTTTAAATGCTGGGTTTTAAGATGTCGCCTACACGTGATTCGCATCCCGGTGGGGCAAATATTAGTTTGATGAATACGAGCGTTTGTACCTAAGTCATGAATGTTCATATGTATATTTTTTACATAAAAAATACACATATACGTATCAGTATATGTATTATTTACGTGACCCTAGTATCTCATAACACAAGTCTCTAGTGTTTACTTGCACAGTCTAGCGTAATTTTGTGATGCTGTGCCACGTTGTTAAATGGTCCAATGACGTGGCTTTTAGTACGTGTCATCTTATCTCCATTTTGTTCTTTATTTATTTCATAAACAACATTTCTTAGGTTATGGTTTTGTCTTATTTTTTCTCCCATTTTGGTGTATTCAAATTTTCGTAGGCAAAGAGCCGAGCCCACACAGCCTCTTGTGTTTTTTTTTTGTTTTGTGCTAGACTGCTATGCGAGGTCCAGATTGTTTTCTGTTTTATTTTGTGTATTAAGTAATTGTCTTGTATTTCCGTCCGTCGATGTCCAAATTAGGTCCCTCCAGAATATCAGCGTTGCAGCGGCAATCCATTTTTGCCGTTGCAACATTATGCTGAGGTGGGGCCTAGTTGACGATGTACCTTTTGTTTTATGTTTGTTGTGTATTTATTGTAATTGTTAATGTATGTCGTCAATAAATGTTTTTCTTTCTTACTTTGGGGATAGGCTAAATGGTGTGAGTGTTGGATTTTTTCATTTACCATCCATCTCGTTACCAGGCATAGCATTGCAGCTGCATGGACACACACACACACATACATACGCGCACACACACCCACTCACACTTCATAAGGTTATCATGTGACAAACTCTTGAAAACCTTTTTATATGGATATTCAGTGTTTGTTTTTCTTCTTTTTTGTCTTTTTGTTGTGTTTTTGTCCAAACTTAATTTTATTTTATTTTTATGTTAACGAATTATATGATTTTTATGCAATTTTTAAAATTAAATTAAATTAAATGTAATAATTACTGACATATAATAACGCCGTTAATATCTAATGTGTACGTAATGAGTTTCTGTAATTGGCTTTAAGATTATATCTATATTTTATTGTATTAAATTTCACAAAAACCGCTGTAGAAACTTTGTTAAAGATAAATAAATAAATTTACTAACCTGTAAAGTGAGCATGACGTGGTGTGTGTCATTGCCCCAACCCCAATCCGGCTGTCGGTGCTGCAGCAGGTACTGGAGCGCCTTCTGAATGGCCTGTCCCTCGTTCAGGGTCTCCTCCCACGCTATGGTAGAGGTGGAAGTCAGGGTGGTGGTGGGTGGTGCTTTGCTGGTCACCGTTGTCGGCGGCTCGGTTTCTGGAAGTAGATTTATTACTATACTAGCGGCCTCCCGTCCGCATCCGACTTCGTCTTTAGCTTTGGTTTTTCGAGAATCCCACAGGAATCCTAGATAGATGATAAAACTATTCATGCCAACATGCACGCATAAAATCCTATGACAATAAGCTATACGCGTAACAAAATTGGAGCTCGATGGCGCAAGTGGTTAGCGCGTTCGGCTGCGATCGTTGAAGTTAAGCAACTATTGCAGTCGTCGGTCATTGGATGGGTGACCAAAAATTATTATAGAAAGCTCCTCCGTGCTTCGGAAGGCACGTTAAGCCGTTGGTCCCGGCTGCAGCTGCAGTCGTTAGCACTCACCAATCTGCACTGGGCCCGCGTGGTGGGTCATGGCCCAATCTCCCTATTCCATCCATAGGGAAGGCCTGTGCCCCAGCAGTGGGGACATTAATTAGGCTGATGATGATGATACCAAAATTAATCAAAGTCCGATCAGTAGTTTGTGCTTGATTGAATAACAAACATACAACTTTTACATTTCTAATAGCAAGTAGGGCTAGCTACAGCCTGCGACTTTATCCGCGTTATAGTAAATTTTATGGGAATTACACAGAAACCTTACATTTTTGACGACCTCCGTGGCCGAGTGGTTTGTACGCCGGGGTTCATGGTGTCGCCGACTCGAGAGGTCCCGGTTAATACGAGCATTTGTACTCCAGTCATGGATGTTTTAATATTTATTTTCTTTAAAAATATACTTATATATGTACAGTCTATGTATTCTATCCGTTACCCTAGTATCCCATAACACAAGCCTTATAGTGCTTACATTGGGGCCAGGCTAATTGGTGTGAGTGTTGGAAATATCTATTTATTTATTTATTTTCCGGGATAAATAGTATCCTATGTCTCAATGTCTTTAACCGCCGGATGGCCGAGGTCTTTAAGAAGGTTATAGATGGTGCAATAAAGGATTTGAACTTTAAACTTCAACTTCAGAGAGATTTTGCTGGTATACGAGTACCTTTCGCTCCTACTTTTACCGCATAATTATAAAATAGCTATCTAGTTAATAAGAAGGGCAGGCAACTCGAGCAGTGAAAGGTGAACGTTGATGCGCATCTCAAAGGGGGTCTCCTTAAACCTACACTTTTTTTTATAACGCAGGTAAAAAATCTTTTTACAGACGACGGCGCCTTTAAGAGGCACACCGCCGAACGGACCTCACACCTGGCTCCCGCAAGTCTTACGGACCCCCAGTGGCTACCCACCGGGAACCCCGCAACTCTTACGGGCGCTTTACAGCATAATATCCGCTAAAAAAGTCCTGCGAATACCTTCTACACTGCTTAGTGCGGAGTCGCGGGGTCCCCGTTAGGGATTCTGCCACGGCTCCGCCCCCAGCAGCTTCCCGGCCTCGCCGGGGCTCCACGGCAGGGGTCTTCCCTTAGATTAAAACAAAAAGGGTAGATATGGTACGCTCATACTTGCATCAAACAAAAACTGATCCCACGGCAGCGCGAACGGGACGGCGAGATCCGCGTCACTGCATTACCGACACGAAACAGTACGTTAAGTTTCAACGGCAGCGCGAACGAGACGGCGAGATCCGCGTCACTGCACTACCGACCATTCACACGACCAGTACTCGACGTCACTACCGAATAAGATTCAAAACAAACAGCAATTTTTATGAAAAAATATATTTTATAGTACTTACGAATGAAGTGATGCTGTGGGTGTTATTTTTAGTGCTTGAGCAATTTGAGCACTTTTTAAAAACACACTTAGGCATTGTTTTATCATATAAACACAAAATATTAGCAATATTTCTTTTTGGCGTTCACATGTACGTCATTTGCATGTTAAGTTGTGACTAAAGCGATTAGGGTCGTGGACCACAATTTATGCGGATCACTTTTGTGAGGCTAGTGCCGTATCTACCTTTTTTGTTTTAATCTAAGGGTCTCCCGCGGTATTACGGGGACCCCGCAGACGTGTCCTTAAACCTACACCTGGGTCGCGAGTCCCGGGAACTGCCCAGAGTTTCTCTCTCTCCCACACGATGGACCCTGCACCTGCTCGGTGAATCCATGGATTGCTAAGAAGTTCATCTCATTTTGATGTATTTTGCACTTACCAGTCTGACCGTAAGCAGCCGTTGCTATGAGAATGGTGAAGAATACCAACCGCAGACAGCCCATGTTGTGTGTCTGTAACAAAAGAAAATTCAGTCAATACTTGCCTATATTCGTATTTTATTCATAACTAAAGCGAGGGCGGCCCGCCCTCGCTTCGCTTCGGTGTAGAGCTGTAGTGTAGACTAAAGTTTTTGTATTAGGCTTGTATTATACACAATGACATTCTTCTTATACCTAATTACAATAGGCACGCGCCGCCAGGCCCCCCGGCTGGTAGCGTCGGAACCGACTTGTCCCTGCATTTTAAAAACTGTAATATCTTAGAAAATATTCATTTAAATTACATGCTTTAAAGGGCGAAATTGATCTGTATTAAATACACAATGTATTTAAGGTACTTAATTGGTTAAGGATGAATGTTATATTGCTGAAAATAGCTTCATAAATAAGCTATTATTTCTCGTAAAAAGTATAGAATAAAAAATGGTTATTGTGGGTCATCCCTAAGAGATAGACATATACCATCGAGAACTTTTTTGTAGACCTTTTTAAGGTGTACAATACTATAGTACATTATTTTGATCTATCTCGTAGGGTTCAGCCTGCGTTTGCAATGTTAGCGGAAAAAATGTAATCATTGACGACATCGTTTTAGTAACCTCATAAATTACAGTATTTCTCTACTCTATATTGAATGTTATTATACATATAAACCTTCCTCTTGAATCACTCTATCTGATAAAAAAAACCGCATCGAAATCCGTTGCGTAGTTTTAAAGGTCTAAGCATACATAGGGATATAAGGACAGACAGCGGTAAGTGACTTTGCTTTATACTATGAAGTGATGACACAGCAATCAAAATGTGAGGGGACGTTGTATTCGTAGTGACATGATTTTTCTATTATATGCTGATGAGTTCCTTGCGTCCAATCTTCTCATCAGCTAAAATATGTCCTGTATGGGTCGCTGGTAGGAAACAACATTGGACGATTCAAAAGAGCATTTAATAAGTCAATTTTTATAAAGAGTAATTTCATTTCATTTCAAAATAGTGTTGTCCAATCAAACAATAGGGTATTTGACAGTATTAAAAATAAAGTGCCAATTGTTAGCATATGTGTTTAGAATGAATATTGGCAGGTGTTTTTACTATATTTACAAAAAAAAAATCATAATTTTACTAAAAACCCATGTATAAGATAATAGTTTTCTTGTCTATTGTCTCGTGACCCAAAACGCTTGGGATTGGCGGAGTTTAAAATGATGTCACACGCAAGTAAAGTTCCGGTTCAAGTGACATAACATTGTATCGTTTGACGTTTTAATAACAGTCGTGTGACGTCACACACTAGTAAGACGCCATATTGTCCAGAGAAACGTTTTCGCGGCAACTTGAAAATGGAGTTTCTGATTTGGTTATTTTTACTGAAATACACAACATAATGTAGAATATTCACTTTTTGCGGACTCCATAAACATTAATCAATAACTTGAGATCGTTTTCTAAAATTTGTCAAATACCCTATTAGACTTTGGATGGTTTCATTGAAAAACAAAATAATCATTTAACAAAGAAGAACCGTTTTTAAAATACCACTAAATGCTTACGTTGTAACAGAACTATCTGTTACACATTGATTTGAAGTAGTTCCCGTACTCGAGTTATATGCAGATTGGTACACGGAATTGCTACAAGACACTGGAGATGAAATTGCGTCTCCTCTCCGCACAATGAATTAACCTACGGATCGTCGTCGGTCGGTAGTGAACTCAGAACTTTGTGCATGTTCAAATGTAGAGCGATTTCGTCGTAAGAATTTCGAGTAATTTTGAATAAAGGAGACTTTTAATTTGAAAAAATAAATAAATAATCAAAATATTCAATTAAAATCGCTACTGAATATAATTTATTAGAACATATGTGATTTGCACTTGTATGAAACTCAAACACGTATTCCGAATATACAAACTAGAAACATGTGGATAAATATTATAAATATGAATACCTATAACTGTTACTTTATTACAAAAAATAAAGATGTTGTTTTTGGTTCTACTACACCAATGGTCAAGAGATGGCGCTGTAGTCTCCTGAATCGCGCTTTGGTTCCGTTGTTCCAGATTAATAAATACTTTTGATATTATAAATATGAATACCTATAACTGTTACTTTATTACAAAAAATAAAGATGTGGTTTTTGGTTCTACTACACCAATGGTCAAGAGATGGTGCTGTAGTCTCCTGAATCGCGCTTTGGTTCCGTTGTTCCAGATTAATAAATACTTTTGATAGGCCTTCACAATGCAGTCGTTAGCACCCACTAAATAGAGATTCTATTTTGTTGGTAGATTTTCTTAATGTGCGGTAAACACAAAAGTAACGCATGAAGTTGGTCACTAAAGCAACCAACTTCATGCTGTTAAAATTTTGTGTTACAGTGATGCGCGCGCATCTTAAAATTTCACTCTCATCATTTTTTCATAACGCGCCTAAAGAAGTATAACTTCAAAAATAAAAAAAGTATACAACTTTGGCACAAAATGCCGGGTGTCCTTTAAGGATGAAATGCACTTTTTGGAAGTTTGCAAATCCACTTTTGGCAAACAAAATTAAGCATTTAAAATATAAATAAGACAAAACTGACTATTTGCCACTAACACTTTTTTTCATCCATGAAAATCCGTTCAAGTGTGATTAAGATAAGTGCATCGAGGCCGAGGGTTCCGAACAAAGTTGTAGTTCAGAAAATATAATTATATATTTGTTTAAATCTAAAGAAAATATAACTAGAAAAAAATCCACGCGGACCAGGCAGCAGACGGGACTCGCTCGCTCTCCTACAATGCGAAGAGATGGCGCTGCCTTGTAGCTTAAAAATGGCTAAATGAATTTCGACGCGGCCGTCAGGGCCGCGTTAGCATAATTGGTCAGTACATTCGCCCGGATAGCGAAGGGTGCGGCCCTTACCGCAAAAATCAAAAAAGTGTCGTTCCGCAATCTGATACTGTGAGTATTGTGTGTCGAGAACAAGTACGAGTGAAGAGTGAGAAGTGGTAGGGGTATCGAGCGCAGTAAAAGACGACGTCAAAGGGTAGAGCGATATGTCTGCCAATAACATCTACCCGCAATTACTTCAGTTACTCCGTGACCATGGCGCTTGCAACAGTGCCGAAATATCGGAGACTCATAAAAACAAGGTACATGGTAACAATCCCGTTAATAGTTATAATATTAGTGACCATGAAAGTTTAAAACAATAAATGTTTATTAAAGTGTCCATGTCCTGTGAGAATCTCAAACATGCTTAACGTAGGGATGTCGAAAGTTGAAAAAAATATCGATATATCGATACATCGATATTTTAAAAAATATCAATATCGGCTTCGATATATCGCGAAAAAAACATCGATATATCGATATATCGGACCAATTTTCCCAAAAATATCGTACAGTACTCACGAAATATGACACGCGGAATAATAATGGAACGAAAATTATCTCCCTAAAAATAGACCCTATTTTCGAATGATGACATAGACAATACTAAATACAGCACAGATCATAGATATGTTGAATATCATTAATCTGAGATCCAGTTACGATTTTTCCAGATACGAATTTAGTTAGATCGTGATATGCCGCTAATAATTAAAAAAATATCGTTTTTGATACGAATTTCGATATTGGTTATTTTGTATCGATGTATCGATAAATCGAATCAAAATATATCGGCAAAAAATATCGATATATCGATACATCGATATATTTTCAACAAGCCTAGCTTAACGTTACTGCGTAAGTATGTACACTTATCGATTACCGAGAACCCTTTCATGATAAATGCCCGTGTTTAGGCGTATGCCTACGTGTCTCATAGATCAAACTTTAGCCTCCCAGATAGGGCACGCACCTGCTCTCTCTCCGAGAATACATGCTCGTGGGTTGATAAAAGCTGCGTGTGTTAAAATGAGGATCGATCGGTTGAGATTACCTATTATCTAGTAATATGGAGTAAATAGGAAATAGCTGTACGCTGGCAAGTTAAGTTTCACTTATTTTTGGTACATTGTTTTTCTATTTTATTGGAACGAAGTTCCTTACGGCAGGCTTGGAGGGGATAGGGGTTTTGCTGCGCGACCGAACTGAAAAAAATGTGACAGTAAAACCGTAAGAAAAAATCCGTGGAATAAAACCGTTAAATGAGACGTGCGCAGGCGCGACAGTCGCATACACAAGCAAGTTCCTTACGGCAGGCTTGGAGGATACAGGGATTTTGCTGCGCGACTGCTTGCTGTAAGAAAAAATCCGTGGAATAAAACCGTTAAATGAGACGTGCGCAGGCGCGACAGTCGCATACACAAGCGAGTTTGCAATTTGTGTCGATTCTACATTAGCCGAAGGAACTTCGTTCCTACCTGGTGTCCCACGACACCACATCATTTTTTATTTGTAATCCGTGTGTGAGTGACGTGTGCTTAAAATGGCTTTTTTAAAGCTACTTTTATCATTCTCGATATGCAATGTTCATATAATACCAGTGATGTCATGTGGTGAACACTAACAACCGTATCATCATCATCATCATCATCAGCCTATTAATGTCCCCACTGCTGGGGCACAGGCCTTCCCCATGGATGGAATAGGGAGATTGGGCCATGACCCACCACGCGGGCCTAGTGCGGGTTGGTGGGTGCTAACGACTGCAAATACAGCCGGGACCAACGGCTTAACGTGCCTTCCGAAGCACGGAGGAGCTCGAGATAGTAAATTTGTGGTCACCCATCCAATGACCAACCACTGCGAAAGTTGCTTAACTTCAACGATCGCAGCCGAACGCGCTAGCCACCTGCGCCATCGAGCTCCTCAACAACTGTATAATGCGATTCAACTAAGAATAGGACCGACTGGGCGTCATATTGTGACGTCATAGCTGTCAATTCAAACAAAATAGGTAGAGTGAGCAAAAAAAAGTTTTTAGGTAGGGAATCCTTACAAACATAATAGTTATTATATTTGTAAGGATTCTGTACCTAGAAAGAAAAAAAACAGAATTTCGAGGCAAAGAAAAGA